CTCCAGTCCATCGTGCTGGCAACACGTGTGGTGAAGCTCCTCCCTTATTCCTCACTCACTCACTCCCCCAACAGGTGAGAAAATTTGACCTCAAGAAAAGTCCTCCTGGTGGTTATTGATTGGATATATTTTGTTTACCTGATCTATTTCATAAGTTATTGTGTTGAGTGGTTATTTTTTGGTAATTGTGACTAATTATGGTTTGTTGTTTGTTAAAGATATCCACGACACCAAGGAACCGCTGACAAGAACTGCCACCCAGTCAACGACGATACATGTGCAGTGATGTTGAAACAAGCTCTCTGGAAGCTGAGTGAGGGACACTGGAACCTTATTACTTAGTGAACAAGTGTCAGCAAGTATTAATAATGGCAAAATCAGAGAACGAGGTGACGGGGCAGGAGGGCGGAAGAAACGTTGTGGACGATAACAATAATACGAATAACAAAAACCAAAATGACAGTCCTGGTAGCAACAAGACGGCGGGATCATCGGGAGGGAAGTACCAGCTGCGGCCTCGGTCACTGCAGGCGAGGCGTCGCTCTGACAGTGAGTGGAGTCTCCAGGACACGCTGAGACACAAGCCACGGCCGCCGCCGCTCTCCAGGTACCGCAGGAAAACTGCCAATGCCCGGGAGAGGTACCGCATGCGGCAGATCAATACAGCCTTCGAGAGCCTCCGTGGTGTATTGCCTTCCTGGGTGTGTAGTCGACGAGCAGCCTCCGACATGACCAAGATCACCACACTGAAACTCGCCTCCGCCTACATCAGGTCCCTACAGGACATCCTGGACGGTAACGCCCACCAGGACACCTGCTCCTGGGTCCTCTCCAGCATCCTGGAAGAAGCTTCCAGTCCTCAGGAACTCCAAACAAACATAAAATTCCAGGAGTTTCAACCCCAATTTGAGATCAATAACACTAACAAGATCCAGCAGCCCACAGTCCACCCACCACAAGAAACTGACTTTGTTTCTTTCCTGTGTGGCTCTTCGGATTCTGAAGTATTCCAGAACAACCTGGAGACGTTCTCGTACCTGTCGCCGATGTCTGAGACAGAGGCCGTGGCCCTCCTGCTGGGGACTGACCCTCCCCGCACCTGGAGTGACAGTCAACACAGCCCACTAGTGTCATGATGCTGTAGATGTAGGCCGCCGTCCTCTGGCCAGGGAGGCTGACCTGTCCACTGCCGGGGCGACACACAACACTTGTGTCGTGGTACTGAGGTCACTTAGATCTGAATATTTAGAGTAAGAGAGTATTATGTGATGCCTCCAGACTGTGATGAAGATAATAATAATAATAATATATTCGTGTTAACACAGAAATGTATTTCTGATACTTGTCAAATTGTGATGGAAAGTGTTAAAAGTAGTCGATAGATAGTGCAAATTATGCTTATGATAGATATATTTAATAATATATTTCGTTGTTCAATTAGGTGGAATTAGTTGTAGAGACATTTACAGCAATAGTGAACATTTATACAGTGTCGTCCTGGAACAAACAGTACTCATGTGTACTCTTAGTTTATGTTCATGTAGAATATCTCCCCAGTGATGCGTGAGGCAGGTGGTGACCACGAGACCAACTGTGATCACTTCATCGTTGTTGTGTCGCTAAGCTCTTGGTCCTCTCCGTCACCTGATGACATTTATATTGTGTGATGTTAAGAACAGTTTTAGTGGTCGCTAAGGGTTGTCTCTGGTTGGTAGATTTTGAGGCCGTAAAAGTTGCCACAAGGAAAATATCATATCAATACTGATGGCAAGACTCCAGTTATACGTACAAGGAGTTCAGTCGTGTCAGGGGATTACAGTTTACCTGTCCCAAACTTTATTGACAAAGTGATATAGAAAAACAAACTATAATAATGAAATTTGAATATAAAAAAGTGCAAGGTTTCACTGTGCGGTTACTGCTCAGACACTCTTGAGTCAGTGAAGGAATGTTGGACATAAATACAGTGAAAATATGAGATACATTAAAAACTTTTGTTGAAATGTGAGAAGTAAGATAGAAGACATTTTAGACAAATACAGTTACGTAAGAAACACGGCAGGACTGTCAAACTATGGCAGTCGATTATTCTTATAAAAAAAATATAAAATAATTGTTTTCCTCATCGAGTTCTATCACAAAATAATCCCAAACTTTCGTTTTTTTATTATATTGTGAAATTCGTAAGATTTATTACAGGAGAGTCCGACAACAACCTCTATCTTGACAGACTCATTATCCATTATTTTCTAACTTTTTTCTTCAAAATATCATCACCAATTGAGTCCTTAAAATTATAGAAGATAATTTTTTCTTTACCATTTGTATTTATTAGACACATTCTAAAAGATAAAAGGATTTTGTTTAATGTTTCACTGTTCACCCAATAAATTATTGATCGTGCTGGTGAGCTGCTCCAGTTTCCTGCTGAGAAGAGTTAACAGACTTTTCTGCTATAATCTGGAAAATATCACAGTGGTCTGTTTTGATTCGCCGGAGGGCAAGAACACCTGGGGACCATGGCACACTGCAGCTTGTGGCGCTCCACTGCCCCACACGACGACCAGCTTACGAATTTCACAAAATATCACTTTAGTAGTATCGAAAGTTGAATGCCTTAATACGATGGTGCTTGATGAGGAAAGCAACATTAAATTATCCAAGACAATAACCAAATGTACAATACTACAGTCGGTGGATACATGTAAACACTATTGTAGTAAAGACAGTCAGGTTTATTATATGAATAATTTTAACATAGCAGTGCCATTCTTGCATATAAAATATACAATGTATGATACAGTCAACTAATACAGGGAGAACACCTACCGAGAACTGATCACAAGTTGATATCAATAATTAAGATGGTAATGTCAGTCCTCTTCTGATGTCGTTCTAGTCAACCCACTCGTGCCATAGTGAATACAACGAAGGAAAAAGTGGTCAAAATCTTCACACAGACAGACAATCTGACATGACCTGTGATTCACATGTTTGTAATAGATAAATATATATATATATATATATATATATATATATATATATATATATATATATATATATATATATATATATATATATATATATATATATATATATATATATATATATATATATATATATATATATATATATATATATATATATATATATATATATATATATATATATATATATATATATATATATATATATATATATATATATATATATATATATATTTCCTATACGTGGGTTCTTTTTTACTTGTGTCAAAGGTAGAGATAAGTTATTTTATTGTTATTGTGTAAGACAAAAAGGTTCTTATTTTATTGTGAGGAATTACTTATTAAAGGAAGACTTTTGTATGGCTGAGTTTTTATTTACTACCAGAGATCAATATATATTTTATAATCATCATTTTTTTCTTTATAGTAATATAATGATTTGTTATCCTTCAACCTTGTTTTTCTTATTCTTTTCTTTTTCTTTTATAGTTTCCTTTCTCATTCTTCGGATTTTCTTCTTTGCTTCCAGTTTCTTATTCTGTCTTCTTCCTTCTCGTATTTTTTCTAGTGTATCATTTATAATTACTGAATCATTTTTTTAATCTTCATCTGCCTGTTATATCTACTGTGATAATGAACACATATGAACTGGAAGCAATTCATTTCCAGTCTTTATGACCTAAGGGGGAAAAAACGACCCCTAACACGTCATCTAAGTACATCATATTTTACAAAGTCGTTTTATAGAGTAATAATGGGTTCAGTGGTGTTAAGTTTATTGGCGTCATGTAATTATGGTTATTCTTAGGAGGCCAGGAGCTCTCTCTCTCTCTCTCATACACACAACACAACTTATCAAGTCTCTGGGAGCGTGCACGTGAGGACATGAGGCAGGGGTCAGTCACGAGATGGTCAGGTCAGCTGGGGTCAGTCACGAGATGATCAGGTCAGCTGGAGTCTGTTATAAGACGGTTAGGTCAACTGGGGTCAGTCATGAGATCAGGTCAGGGGTCACGTTTATACAGGGGTCAAACCTTTAGGGTCGACCACACCCTTTGTTATCACTCGTTTTGAACAGCTGATCTGCATACTTCGTGAGGGAGAGTTGCTCCAGTAGAGTGTGTGTGTGTGTGTGTGTGTGTGTGTGTTCTTATAGATACACGAATACAGGAATGTGTCTGCCTTTATATGTAGTTACAGTATATGCACTTAGTTATTCTGTTACCTGGTAATTAGCTAGTTTGATTGCTTAGTTATTTGGGGTTCGTTAGCTAATTGATTGGTGAATTGGTTTATTGATTAAGTGATTATTTTGAGAATTTGGTTAGTTGGTTTGTTAGTTTCCCTGAGGTAATGCGAAAAGTAAATGGAAAATTCACTAATTTGAGTATGTAGTAACACCAACCTTATCTACAGGTAATGCTGGACTCTACGGTATTCTCACCTATGATCTCACCCAAACAATTTATATTTAGACTTCACATCAGTCTCAGAAAGTTTGTCCAGATTTAATGTGAATACAATGTGGATATTTTTCTTCTTGTGTACATGGGAAATGAAGTTAGTTTTCATAGCATTGGTTAAAAGGTACACACGTAACTTAGTGCATCTCTCCACACAAGTTAAGAGTCTTATTACTATACCATTTATTTTTCTGTCAATATATCTTTAAATACATCTAATACATCTCTATTTTGCATTCTAGTGATCATTCTCTATGTTATTTATTTCACATTCCTAAATACAACAATTAATCATAAATTGTATTTCTTGTCATCATATTGAAATAACTTATAGAGTTATAGGACTCAATTTTTTTAAATAATGAGCTGATGCCCTTCATTGTGTGAGTGTGGGAGTGAGTTTCTCGTAGCTGGAGGAGATCCGTCTGTGAACCGTCTAGTCATAATCATCAAGAATGGAAAGATTTGATCACTGCTTCGGGGTGAGATGCAAGACAAATTATACCTTTTGGGGGATGCATTGCCGACAAGCACGACACCTGTGGAGAATTTCCTTCATTGTTTTAGAAGATAGATAGTGAAACATGGACATATATACACACACACACACACACACACACACACACACACACATATACTGTCATTTTAGTTCATGCACTCACTGCAACATATACATACTTACATACATACATACACTGGAAGATACAAACACACAGTCAGTGTTACACATACACACATACTCCCTGCAATATATACACACACTGTCATTACACCACATAAACACCGCCCTTTTCTGCTTCAGCACAAGACGATAAGTTTTAACCAACCACATATTAATTTTGCGTTACTTAACATGACCACTGAACGACTATCATATGCCGAGTTTGTTATTTAAGAACCGAGAACGATGAACCACTATTAAAGTAAGTAGCGTTTATGTCAGTCATGAACCGTAAAGAATGATCTGCTGTAATACTAGAGGTTGTTCCTATTAGCTGTGAATTGTGAAAGTGGATCCTACAGGGCTTACGGTCCATTCGGTGCAGTGCAGATACACCATCTTGAATCATAAGCTACTAATACATAAGGAGACACTGTGCCCGGTGCTACAACTTGACCACATTTACTTCACCAAATATAGTTTTAAAGTTACGTACCCATTCACAGCTGGAGCTAAGAGGGTGGTGTCCCCCAAACCTGTACCAAAGACACAAAGGACAGGAGGTAAGTGTTCTATCTAACTCGGCCACTGTATAATTCCATTTATGTTATTCATGAACGATAAACATGCTAATTCCATAGTGGGTGTTCACTGCCTTACCTCCGTGACCACCCCAGATCAGTAATGGAAGGCTCTCACTTGTGGTACACGACTGTGGTTAGTTTTACAGCCCAGAAATTATTGACCTAAGGCTAAGGAAAGTACCATGGTAAAGAAGCTCCATTAACTCAAAGGTGCAATTGGACTTTGTTATCTGTCATAGGAAAAAGCACTGCGCGAGGAGTTAGAATTTCGTTTATCATTATTGAGCTAAATCAAATCTTAACGACGACAAAAACAATAATAACGACAACAACAGCAATAAAAATAATAACATCATCAGCAATAACACCAACGAAGCCGACAATAACACCTCGTCTTATTCGACAACAGGTGGACTTATAGTGAGTGATGAATGAGACACCAACAGCCTTTTAACACAGAATTGTAACAAGATGCACTCGAGTACTCACAAGGCAACAATATATGGGTGTGGGAGAAGACAGAGTGACATAATCTAAATAATATCTGAGAAAGTTCTTTTATCGGTAATTATTACAGAACTGGCAAGAGTATTATGCTGATGTGTTGGTAAACTTTAGTTAAATAAGTTCATGACCTTAAAACTAAAAAACCCATTGATCATAATCTTGTCTCCATCGTATTAAGTACCAATATATTCGCTCCTCGGCCTGACAGCACTAATACACCGTGACACAGGTATAAAGCTTAATGTTCAGCTAATCTTCTTGTCGAGGTTTTATCACCCCCCAAATTGACAACATTAAACCCTTCTTCCCAGCTATAAACCACAAGATAAAGTGTTGTCAGACCAGACTCAAGTAGATACATCATCGTCTCGCTGACAACACCAGGCCCTCAAAATAATAATCTTTCAATTACAGCCGTTTGAAGTCTATTACTAGGTGTTGGACTTTAATAATCTAGAGCTGACTAGAGTGGCCCCTCGCTGCTGTACTCCCGAATTCTCCAAAACAATATTATATAAATCATTTCCACTTAAAGTCTAATTTTTGGTGTTAAATTTAGGTGTCTGGGATCTTACACAGGTGTACCCTCGTTGTTGTACCCCCGAATACAGAAATTCTTGGTCCCTAATCTTTGGGTTCCAATCCTTATCTCGGAGACGTAAATCAGGGTCTAGTCAGGTGCAGATTAACTCTCCCGAGGCCGCTAATCACAGCAGCATCAAGGCGATAAGACTCCGGGTTTAACAAGGTGAAGATAAACGGTATAATGGAATTGAGATTAACGAGAGAAGCATTACAGGAAAACGAGACAGAGCAAGATTGTGTGGAGCGGAACCACTGGATAAACACAGGGCGTGATGAAGGTGATGAACATCGTGCGTGGTGAAAGGGATGAGAGTGGACAGGAAAGGTGATGAATTACGGGTATATGGCGTAGGAGGGAGTGAAGTATAATGAGAGGATGAGCTATGGTCAGTCATAAATAATGAAGGTGTAGAGTTGAAACAAGAGAATTATACACAGAGGCTCGTCAGTATGTAATGAATTATAGCACTCCACCGCCGCAATGCCAATAATTAGGTATCGTTTTGGTTATGTCGTAATTACATCAGACGCTCCCTTGTAGCAGCTCCAGCCGATGAAGGTGTTGCTATCTAGGCCACTTGAACACCCTCTAGCGTCGACCAGTTCGTGTCTCACTACCACAAGATCCTCCCCGATAAGCTGTATCATTGCACGGCACAGGTCCTCCATCCTCCGTCATTCTTATTGATTTTATCGCTCACTTGGTCATCATCACCTTCCACTAAAACGACAATACCTCGCTATCTGTCATCACCTCTCTCTCTCTCTCTCTCTCTTCTACCATTATGAGAAAACCAATCACTGTGTCTCTCTCTCTCTCTCACTTGTCCTTGTAAATATTCCAAAACACCACTATATTTTCTCTCTCTCTCACCATGTACACTACTCACCGTTAACCACTCTAGTATAACCTCCCACACCAGCATCCCTTATATGACTACGTTCCAGTGATCTTAATGGAAGTCTCTCACGGTTCAGTAGATCAGGTCATGAACTATCTTGACTGTAACAACTCATTAAATATAACGATTATTATAGCGAGTTAATTCAGTCATTTAGTACAGCAATAGCATTAATAGTATCCAGTTGATAACACCATTACTTACTACCATTAAAAAACACACAATATGAATACTAATCATCTCCATGTATATACTACTATATTATTGACTTATTCCATGCCCTTACCTGCCCTTACCTGCCCTTACCTGCCCTCACCTG